GTTGGGAACTGCATGCAGCTTCTATTGAGCGTTTAACGGGCGTTTACTCTTGTCGTTAGAAAAAACGGCGTAAAGAGCGTTAAATGTTAAAATAATACAGCGTTAAACCAAGATAAATTGCTCTCATCAAAGCATTATATATAATTCAATAAAGAAAAATGTATTCTTATTACTCAAAAATAAACTTTTAAAAAACTCTCATTGAACGGTTGTCTCAACGCTATATAAAACTTCTTATTTTCGCCAGGGCATACATTATATAATTATGTGCAGTATACTTGCTATGTATTATATACGTATTTTGACTTAAATATTTCATACCTATTGCATTAATTACGTATTTAACACATTATATTTGATATGAAATAAAATGCAATAAAAATGCAATATTGTTACGTATTTAATATATATTTGCAATTAAAAGTACGGGTAGATATAATTTAACTGATGTTCTGTATTGACTGATTCTGATACGTAATAAGAGATGTTAACGCTGAAATTTTACATAAAATTAAAATATCTGCCGCTGTTATGCCGAGGCTATGTGTTACGTCGACGGAGTTAATCGAAATTATAAATAGAACAGCAATAACATCCTACCCTGTCACAACCAGCCTCGACCTGCCATATTTAGATATTTTGATTATTGTTTAAACAAAAAAATATTTTAGGACATTAACATAAACTGGTAGTTATTACGTTTAAAGTAATGATTTTAAAGACACAAAATTATGATATAATGACCAGATTTATAAGTATAACATTTAATGCATCACTAATTTATTTTACTTTCGGCTATACAAAACTAAAAATATTTTCTGTATGTGAAAATACGCTATTCAGCCTAAAATAACTAATTATATCGCAATGTTTTTGCAGAAATACTATATTTTTTATGCAATATTATCTTTTGTCACTTTTACAATAATTTCCGTGTACCAACTTGCCTCATGTACCAACTAGCCTCGGTCTCCTTTATACAATATAATATTTTTTTTGCGTATTACATATATCTTTTCCAACATTAGTAAACTGTACTCCGACTAGATTTGTCAGACTTATAACACAGTTCCTTTTGGAGTAAAATCCTTTGCCTTCCCATAATTAAATCGAGTCGATTTAACTATCTTAATAACTGTAAACAAATTATTGCGAAAAATACCTCAGCCATGGTTCAAACTTGGAACCTCCCTCATTCCGTGAAGGGTATCGTACCAATTCGACCACTGAGGCATGTGGTAATTATAATTATCGCAATAACCGGTTAACAATAGTTTTGAATGTTTTTTTCAGACGATGTGAATAAACAATAATACGAGAATTATACGACCGTTATGATATACAATCAAATAGTAGATTAAACTAAATTGCCATTTACGATTCAAGCTGGATCTTGGTAGCCCAATTATTACATATATATTTTTTTATACAAAATTATTGTTATACAAAATTAAATCTAATTTTTTGTACAAAAAAGTATTGTATATAGCTTAAATATAACTAACAGTATACTTAAAAAAATTATTTTAAATTAACATTTTGATTATTTGAAACATTTTCCTTCTTAAAAGTTTTACGACAATTACAGCATCACTGTTAGCAAGAAAAAGGAGAATCTATTGAAGGAAAAGGAGACACTCATTGGCGAAGTGGAGACTATGCATCAACGCATGAAAAACATGTCAATTTACATGGAAGAACTTGAGAAAAAAAGTAGTGAGGTCGAGCAAAAGATGACGGAGATGCAGGAAACTATTTGTATACAGATGAATGAAATTTCACGAGAGAAAATAATTCGGGACAGAGCGGAAACGGAGGTGCAACAACTTCAGGAAGCAATAATCTTAAAGAAAAATGACCTCGAGGTAAAATGCTTATGAAAAAATATTTGAAATTAAAAGAAATGTAATAAACTATATTTATTATATATCATTGTATATAATTTAGATGTATGACTTGTTAGAACAAAAATTTAATCATTAAAATTAGTATATATGTATACCTTTTTGCGGTTTTTATGCGATACCACAAATACCTAGATCCGATTCTTTGGATCAATTTTGATAATTTTCTCCTTCTTTTATTGAGTAAATATTGAGTAGATAATGTTATCATTGCCGGATTTATTACTGTCTCTATCAACTGTAGTGCATCTTGTAGCAAAATTACGTTTTAGAATAATAGATCATATTATGTCAAAATCAAAGTTGTTATCACTGTTGTTTATATCATCCAGTTTGTATTTTAATTTACTTTAGCTATAATTATTAAAAACATTTTATCAATAAAAAATAATAACATTTTATTCATATAACATGGCAAAATAAGATAAAGAAAAAAAACATTGTATACACATACAAGCAACAATACCTTTTCTTGAATAATTACTTCAAATAATCTCGATGAAAGCATTTATTGCGTGATGCGCAATAAATACAAATTAATAAGACCAAAAGATAACATTGTGTGATTAAAATGTAGTGTAGACGCATTGCAACAATTAAAATAATTATTTAATTTTACCATCAGTGGACGTATCAGTAACATTATTTATACTTTATTAATATATAATCAGTAATAATAACTTATTCAGTGATGTATATAAGGTTCCTGCTAACTCGCCTGCTAAATCCGAATTGATAATACACACAGCGTCACACTTGGCAAACTTGTAAATTAAAAGGCTTAAAAAATAAAAATAATAATAAGTGAAACAAGACTGCCATGACAATCAATTTAGAAAAAAAAGCCATTTTTAGTCAGGACTGGATCTTGGTAGTCTGATAATATTTTTTGCATGAATTTTGTGTACAATTATAGGCCAGTTAATTTAAACATAAATAAAAACATTTGTTGGGGTAGTAATAAATTTTCGATGATTAATAAAGATAGCGCTCCTAGTTACGAATCAAATAAGATCATTAAAAAGGGGGTCGGGATAAGCCGCCATTTTGTTTTTTGGGGGCTAAAAACGATTTTTTGCAGAATATCTCGTTTCCGTTTAATTTTTCGTTAAAACCAAGAAAAAATAAACCTTTTCTTCGCCAGTGAATAAAATAAATAGGAACTGAGTATCAAACCTTTTATTTGAATTAAAGGAAAGAACAATGTCTTAATTGTTTATGCAATGAATCAATTATAATTTCGAATTGAGAGTAAATCGAGGTATTACATTGGAGTTGCGCAGAAATGCAGCAAATAATCTATGTAACAGATGTAAATAGAATAGGAATCGTTTAGATATCATGAACAAAATGCACAATATAATGAGTTTCATTAATCAAAATACGTAAAAGAATTAATAAACATAGAAATAAATTTGTAAGGATATGTAGAATATCAAGGTCATTGATGATTGAAGTTGGATTTATTCTCCTGTTATCAGGTATAATTACATTGAATTGAATTATTCACCACAGAGCAAGTAGATAAATATCTTGAATGATACTGAAAGAATCGATACTTCAGCAAAAGAAACTAACAAGTTTAATAACTCATAGTAAGAACGATTAATTAATAATCATATACTTTAACTTCAATCATCATTGAGTCATATTTTATGTCGCAGAAAATATCTCTATTTAGATTCGCAATTTATCTTAAATTATGCGCAGGAAATTACGTTAGAAAGCACGTTAGAATACTATCAATCATGAAAGGAATACGGTAACGTAGAACTCAAACTTAAATTATGTTTTATAAACGCGGTATAAATTAATTATGTGTAGAAAAAGCAAGTAATATTAATCATTTTAATAATGTGTCGAAAACGCAATTAATATTAATCCTCTTAAATTAAGCACATGAAATATCGTCTGAGCTTGTAATTAGAGTCTCAAAAATCTTTACTGTACAGTTACTAAAGAATGTTAGGCTTTTCTCTCTTTACAAGTTATGCGCATAACTGACTGATCATTTCTCGAGAACGTGAGTGCCTCACGTGAACAGTCTCTGCAACCAATATCAGAAGTTAGGCTTGATAGCCACTGCGCCATGTAAACTCGATGGGTAGTTGCATAAAGAATAATAAGTTGTTACCTCGTAATTAACCACAATAGGTTTGTTCCGGAATAAAGATTCCAGAATAATCTCCGCCATATATTCTCATACTTCTCTTGATTATAATGGCCGCTCTCGACAAGATGAATAAAACGCCCTTCTCTTTGTTATAATGGCTATCCTCGCCGGTATGGATAAGACGTCCTTCGCAATATGATATTCGTCCTCTGCAGTAGGATTGTAAGGAATGAGGCTTGAGTACCTTCACACTTTGTATTTAGCAAGAAAATTGACTCAGGATAGTCGGCAGTATTTCGGCTGATACACCGTCTCTCGAAAATTCTAGATAATTACGTGCGTATCTACGCATTAACAGAGATGCTCACTGGTAGAGCGACCGGGAGAGAATGACGACGTGATCGTCGTTGTTCGCGCGGTAATATCAGGGAGCGCCTGCGTGTCTGCGTCGCGCATGAATATATCGAGAAACGCTACAGCTCATGCGTTACACTAGACGGATGCATCGCAGCGCGACAACAGCAGAAACGCTGCTTGATCGATAGTGCGCTTACGGGAGGTCGATAACAAATAAACTTAGCTATTGATTTCTCTTTGCTCATGGCTCTGTTTTACCCTAGGAAGCTCTGCCCGTCCTTACCCTCAATTCAAATAAATGCTAGATTCTGAACAAAAGGAGAGTAATAATCGACGCTGACTGGCAATATATAAATTTATTATATCTCACAATGAGATATAATAAATTTATATATTGCCAGTTAGCGTCGATTATTACTCTCCTTTTTATTTTCACTAGACACTACAGACGCGCGCTTCGCGCGCGCTATTTAGCTTTAACATTGTTATGTGATCAGTATAGATATTACTCATATCTACGCCGTATTTTCGTCTTGAGCCTTATTTAATGTGTGATTAATAAATACAGAAAACAGTTGAAAAAATCGTTTTAATAAAGAATGTAAAAGTTAAACAATAAAGCAGAAAATGACAATTAAGAAGAGAACGCAAATACGTATACATACATGGATCAGTTGCGCATAGTATCTGACTTCGCTTAAGGGCTGTTGTTGATTATTTCGCTTAAGGGCTGTTGCCCTGAGTAGTGAGAGCGGTAAGCGACGACGCCTAGGGGACTATCGCCCTGAGTCGCTACCTGATTGTGCGGATGCGACAGCGCCTAGAGGTGTAGACCTTGGGTCGCTTTGGCTTGACACACACTTTATCTTATGTTTACAATTATGTCTTTTGTAAAGAGTTTAAATGTTTATCTCGAAGGAAAAGCAAAGTCTCGAGCGATTCTTCGTGGCCACGTAACCGACATGTACATCGAAAAAATGAAGAATAATAGAATATCGGCCGTGACAACGAAGGATCGAAAACGCCGGAGCAACATCTAGCGAGCATTGAAACTCGTCCTTAAGATACCGAATTATTAGGAATTATTTATTTGTACATATAATTAATTGATGCACTTATAGGTAAATGTGTGTGTATGTGTCTGAGCCATCCGACAATCTCTCTTATACCGAATTAATTAAGTCGTGCACGACGCATGTATTTACTACATAACAAACATTATGCTATTACTATTATACTATTAACTCCTTGATACACACAACTGTCAAAATATACAATGACAACTGCAAATGAAGTAAGCGTAGCAAAAGAACCAATCGGCATCGCGGAAAAGCGACAACAATACACTTCACATCTCCTTTTTAGAAAAGGATTAAAAATTGTTATTATCAATCTGGTAAAGAAAAATTCTCTACAACTTTTGTCTAGAACATTTTTTCGTGCGGTGAATAGCTTTTGAGTTACAACCGCAGAAAGAATGCAATTTTAGGAAAAACATTGGGGATATGCATTTCTATGGGAAAATGTCATATTTTGAGCTTTCATAAATCGAGTTGTATAACAATTACGATGATTTTCGATTATTTACTTCATTAATAAATAGTAAATAACATATATTTACATTAACTCATTTCCTCACCAACTTGCGGTTGATGACATGTTTTTTTTTAAGTGTTGTTATGATGTAATCAAAGGATGTCACTGCAATCATATTTGTTTTGATGGTCCGGGTTGGTTATTAAATTCTTCGTTGTCATTATCCTCGTCTACTTCAATGTCTTTCTCTGTTTCACGCAGTACTGTTACGTCCAACCCCAGAATTCGAATAAGAAAAATTGAGAAGCAAAGGAAAGGCTAACCAGAGGGGTAGTAGCTCAGGAAAATTAGACGAAAAAATAACAAATCTGCGGAAAAATTTGCACCCAGCTGAATGTTTGTATATACCTTTATTTTGTCGTTATAAACAATATGTGAAAAGTCCCCATTGATGTGACCCCTGCTAAAAATTTTACAGAGGGTCAAAGGTAAACAAAACCACTACTAATGGAGTACGCTTTTTTTTGGCGATGTATGGCGCTTGACATAATGAGGAATCAATAGACGGGGATAATGTTTTTTCCGGGGCCCTTCAATTTGATAGGTGTATTTGATAGATCTTTCGCTGAGAAAAAGAATGCCGCAAACCGCAATGCGCTACGATGCATAGTTTTTGAGATATCGATTTTTAAATGTAATAATAGCAATATTGTTGTATGGTATTGTTACGTCCTGTATACTCCACAATTTCCCTTTTTCACGGAAACCTCTTAAAAATTTAGAGTAGCTTTTAAGATTAAAATCAGAACCGAGCATTAGCGGTTGTCCATCGGCAAGTGAGTTATGATCTCGACGCTATTTCCTATTTTTTTCTTTATGTTTGCTAAACGAGCTGAGAAATCGAGAGAAAACTTCCAGACGACAAAATCCAAACAGACAAAGCATATATGACTAC